GTTAATTTTGTTGCAATGGTTGATTGTTCTTTTAATACGAGAGGATGGTATAGCTGTATAGGGCTTGGACTAGTCTTTACTTAATCCTTTGCCTTATTTTTCCACTTGAGTCAAACCCCAAATTGCTATCTAGGCAGGCGACTGACACCCTGCAGGACGAGGGGGTTCCTAGCGAAAATGTTCCTGACTGATGTTCATCCGCGGTTGAGAAGAATGTAATAAAAAATCAGCAGAAAACCTTAAGCTTATAAAAGGCAAGTTAAACCGCCATGGAGTATTATGCCCCTAACAGCTGCATACGATCCCACTTTCTCCAACCTGATAGCCTCAGACTTTGTCCTCTGGTTATACTTCCTATACCCTTGTCCCTTCCGTCTTCTAAGGTGACCTGCCGACTTATAGTTAACCCTTATTTTTTTTTCTGGATTACAGCACGCGGTTTGAACTCGGTTATTGAATAGTAATGCTTAAATGTTGGAACGTGTTAATCGGCAAACTACCAAACAAGAACTGAACATATATAGGAGAAACATCAGTCAGGATCCAACTGACTCTCCTTGAAATCAAACCCCCCTAAACAATTCTTTCAAGTACACGACCGCTTAGACATGAAAGTTGAAGCAGTGGCAATGACCGCTTAGAAATGAAAAGCATAACATCGTCATCCATCTAGCACAACCTAATTATCAGTGTTGAAGAATAAGCATGTTCACAATTTGCTCAATTAAACACTGTTGATTCTGATTTTTAAAAACACTGAAGTATCCCATCCTTTGGTTATTTAAATAGCTAAAACCTTTTTTTTTGCCATTTTTTAAAATTTGTTCTTGGCTGAACATGCTCTTGTTTTTGGTGCACTGAGATGCTCTTGTTTCTACACTAGTAAACAAGCCGGACGGCATGGGCTTCACAGTACATTGGACTGTACGAAAATAGACAAACGATCATAAAAATCGTGTCAAATACATGCAATATCTAAGAAAAGTTCAAAATCCAATTTGAATTCCCAACAATGTAATCAGATGGTTAAGTCTCCAGTGGACTCAAGAAAAGCAGCCAAATATCCAAGATCTGAATCCCAGTTAGCGTCAACGCAATCATTGCCGCTCCAATTTCCCACCATTCCCTCCGGTGACAAAAGTGCTTGGCCGTTATCTTTTGTCCCGTATTCATATATCACAGTGTTTGTATCACAAAAATCAAAGTCACTAAGCTGTGAAAAGTCAGAAGCAAGAGTTTCTGAAATGCTGCTTTCCCCAATGCCAAAATCCATAGCAAACCTTGATATAGAAGGATTTTCTTCCTTGGACGACAGCAATGTAAATGACCCATCACTGGATCCAGATGCTACAGCAGTTTCATGCACTAACTCAACGTCCATGGATGGAGCTGTATGGACAATAGTATTGCTGTCATCTTCTCCGATTACTTTCTGTTGCGGGCTGAAAGAGACCTTAGTGCAACGCCCTGCGTTACCTTGGATAACACCAGAACTTGTTGGGGCCTTCCTGGAACAGCTGATGAATCTTTGTTTCTTTTCATCTTTAGTGGTAGGATCGAATTCTTTCACTTGGGCCCTCTTTGATAAAACGCTGTTCCAATGATTCTTGATTTCATTGTCTGTTCGGCCTGGAAGTCTTCCCGCTATCAGAGACCATCTACAAAGTTCAAAAATCAGTAAACCCCGTCACAAGCATTTGTTACAGATCATTTATGTAAACATGATACGATCCAAACGGAAATAGAGAAAGAAAGACCTGTTGCCTAAGAGTTTGTGGAGTCTGATGATGAGATCTTCTTCATCACGTGTAATGTTGCCTCTCTTGATATCAGGTCTCAAATAATTCAGCCAACGAAGTCTGCAACTCTTCCCACATCTCTTTAAACCTGCATGGCAATGTTACTTCTTCAGGCCTCTATCTCTATGACTATGTATATTAACTTAATTATATTATTCTACCAATTGCCTCCCAACTGATCTCTACTTACCAGCTGCCTTAGGAATGCTTCTCCATTTTCCTTCACCGTGAGCCTTGATGTACTCAATGAGGATTTTGTCTTCAGTGGCTGTCCAAGTTCCTCTATTAAGTCCCTCCTCTTTTGAACAACAAGGCTTCCTACCCATTTGCTGCTGCTCGATCGTGTCTCTCGATGTTGTGTGCCAGAGTTAATTTGTCTGCATGTGAAGTTGCAACTTCCAATCTCAAGTTGGCAGTTTTCTCCCATTGAATGGAGTGGTCTTTGTTTGCTGTTTATATAGATGTCCTAGTTCAATTTTAAAATAACACTAATAAATAAATTTGTCTAATAAATTAAGTTCAAAGAATGATGTGTCTCATCAAGCAACGACCAATGAAACATGTAGACAAATTAGTTTGACCGTAATTAGCTTCTTTTTACCGAACAAAATACTAATTCCCAACGTGATTTTATTTTCACGTGGAAATCTGAGGAATCAGAGGACCTAATTAATTAAAACTTTATTAAATTCATTTAAATAAACTTCTCAATTCTTTCACGGGCTTTAATGATATTAGTGTATGGCTCAACATTAGTTTGCGCAGGGAATTGAATTTCAGAGAAATCCCGTGCAATTTGTGTTAATTTAAGTATAATTAAGGCTTTGTTTGAGTAAAAGTAAGGAAGGATCTGAGCTGATTAACGATAACGATGGATTCATCTACCATTCCTAGTTATTTCCCTGAGCTCTCAAACTAACATTCCCACCTTAACCTCTGCAAACTTGAAAGTTTGTTGCTGCCAAGCTTTTCCTCCACTTTCTCCCTCGTGGGGAAATGATTTCCTAACATTTTCACTTATTGTTTACAAAGTGGAACCAAATGTCACGCTTTGTCCTTAGATTAACGTCGTTGTTGCCATCATTAGTGCCTTATCCATTTCCATCGTGTTTCTTGCTATTGCTTTTAGATTTCTGGTTCTAACTGGTTTCCTCAATTTCTTTAAATACAATAAAAAGATAAGAATTGAATTGATTTTTTTTAATATAATTTAGATACTTATTTAAATATTTAAGTAATTTTCAAATAGAAGCACAAATCAGGGTGTCCTCAAAAAGGGGCAAGCTGAGTGTGCAAGTGCAAAATGTTGTGTCAATCCCAATCCCAATCCCAATTAATGTCGACAAATAACATCTCGATGCCTTTCTCCTTTTCCCACAAAATAGTGTACATCAGATCATAAAATGGGCATCCGTTTTTGGCAAATTAATGTTCCTCCTGTATAGTCAGAATAAACAGCTGAGCCAAAGCTTGAACTATCATTTTCTCCAACTGATTGATTATAATTGATAGGTCTTATGCAAAATTTGGCAGGACAAATTTATTGGGTGGATACCATACTAGGATAACTTTTTACAGAAACGGAAAAACTCTGCATATTTTGCAGCAGTGCCGTGGCTTGCATTGCCACCTTTTGCTGTCAAAATGACAAAAAGAACGAATGGAAACAAAATCCCTACAAGGACTCGTCAAAGGACCAAAAATTTGGGCCACTGTAGGACCAATAAACCATAAGCTAATTGATGGACTTGTCACGATTTCACAGGTATCAGCTGTACATCTATTTATGGCTTTGGTTATGAAGAAATTATAGGCAAAAAACATATGCTCAAAAGCAGCACAATGATTAGCAACAAGGGGCCACCTATATTTTTCTGCATTGCACAACTATATACATATTTTGAAAGTTAACTACAATTCTAAATAGGACAACATCATTTCAAGCATTTCTTTTGTCCATTCCCATGTGCCGTTCATGCACCTCCTTGGGTTTACACTGTAAAAGCGATGGTCGGTGACTTGGAAATTTTGCAATTTGGGGCCATTTATGTGTAAAACCAGGGTCCCAAAGTCTTTGAGAACAGCAGGGGTTGTTGGTTTTTAGACGAACCATATATATGACAGAAATGAATGCCTTGTCCAAAAGAAAAGGGGGTTTATGTGGTGGGAACGCTCACTAGGAGGCCCAAAATGGAGCGGTGCATCAATTCGTCAATTTTGTCATTGCGTTGCAACTACATTGACTTAGTCATACCCGTCATTATTGTCATTCGAGTGTTTACACTAATTACATGATATTAAAACTACTTTAAAAGATATTTTACAATACAATATAATTACAAATAACGTGATTATAGAAAATATAATATTATAAAATTTGATATATGAGTAGAATAATGATTAAAATGTAAAAAAATAACATTGTAATATTTGGTTTATAAGTATTTTGTTAGGAATGTAGTGTCATATTTCAAAATTATCTTTATTTATTAAAATATAAATTTAATATACTTGTTTTTTTAATATTAATTTTTATATAATATTAATTTTTAAATATATTTTTAAAGTCATATATTTTATTTTCATTTCTTAATATTATTTCCTATATTATATGTTCTATTTTAATTTCTTTTTCTTTTGAAAGATAATGTAAATTTTATTGACAATCACCATCTACCAACCAACAGAGTATGACCACTAAGAGTAACAACGAGATATCCTTCGAAATCGATATAAAAAAAATAAATTATAACATTGTCAAATATCTTTAACAATGTAAAAAAGTTGTATAGGTAAAAATATTTTTAATAACATTGCAAAGTGCAATGCAATCTGATTGCATTGATTTTGGACTGCAATTACATTTCATCAATTGGCTGTAATGTAATTGCATTGTAATCTTACATTGCAGTGGTTTGTTTATTGTAAAACAAATATCGCAATGAAATTCAATTAGGCAAATTACAGGAAATGCGCTCTCACTTTTTTCATACCAAACACTACCTAATAATTATATAAATAAATACGAATGTGATACGATTAATTAAATGTGTTAAAGATTAAAACATGTATGCTGATATATTTATTATATGTGTAAAACAACATGATAAGACTAACACATTAATGTGATTAACTGGTTTAATATAGTACATAAATGAGTTTATAAGAGTCAAATTATACGAGTCAACACGATAATTTAATTAAACAAGTGAACTAAATAAGTCTTAAATGGGTTAAGTAAGTTTAAACAGGTTAAGTAAATTTAACCTATTTACAATACGTAATTATTGTATCTTAAACGTATCAAGATGATTAATACACGAAACACGATAACTTTAAATGCAAATTTACTTAATTTTGTATCGTTCTCGTGTGGTGCTAACAAATTATGTCTAAAATTATTAGGTCTTGAAAGGGCAATTCACGTGTGAATTGCCTCACAATTTTCCTTCATAAGAATTGTACTACAAGTTTTTGTACTTTGACTTCCGACACAAAAACTTCAACAAGAACCTTATTTTCATATTTTTTTATTGATTTTTGCCATCTATATATTGCATGTTATTTTTTTTGAAAGTCTATATTAATTATGGTTTGATCGATTTTCAATTAATTAACATGAAATATGTGTAAAAAAATGTCACGATCCAAACCTTGATGTCACATCCCATTTTGTGCTGGGATATGATCAATGATGGACCCATATGGGTATATCTGCTAGGCCCAAGCAAGTCTCATTCTATTCATATATTAAATGTTCATAATCATGTACGGAAGTATACATTCAATCATTCATACGCATACATTGTAATCACATGCAAGCAACCATAGGTAACATTACACAGCTATGAAACTTCTCAATATAAACAATGTAAGTGCAGTCATCTCATGTATCATCAGAGTGTCATAATCTCATGCACAATATCATATAAACATTTATCAATACTCTTGGGTGTTTATGTAGGTTCTCTAGTCACTTTTGCACATTTATCTATAACATTTGTGAAGGAAAATGCCAAACATTGGCTACATCATCATAAACGTGTTCATTGTCAATAAAGCATAAACATAAATAAAAATCGATTCATCAGTGGAACATGACTCAACTTTAGGCTACAAGTGGCTGCTAGATCACTTATCAAAAAAAGAACGGATCACTCTTCCATGACATTGGTTGCTAGTAAGAGAGTTATCATTGATTTACAACAAAAATAAAGGGAAAAAATAATGTGAGTCATAAAGACCCTGTAAATGGATACGGGGAAAGGGACATGCCAAAGGGGAGAGTTTTTTGTAACCATGCACTTATAAACACATATGATTCATAAAGCTTTCCTTCATTTCCATAATAATTATGAAACATAGCATTTAAACTCAATTTAAATAGTGTACCATGGAAAACATGTTTGCATAAACCAATGGAAATCATTTACCTTTGAAAATCCTTTTAGAAATACTTGAAAACTCATTTTTGAAAAGAATGTATCCATACATTTTATATAAAATGCCTCCTTTTGCATTCTATCCAAAATGTATCGATACGTGCTCTTCATATATCGATATTTTAGGCATAAAACCCACTTTTCTAAGTAAAATCCTGCACATAACTATTTCATATGTCTTTTTACTTCTTAAGACCATTCCTTAGGCTAAAGTTCAGCCTAACCAAGTCTACATTCTTCTCATACTAGAGTAAATAATATCAATCATACTCAATCAACATATCGAACACATTTAACATGTACATCAACAATCATTCTTAACACATATAACATAGACTTATGAGCATAAATTCATAAACTTTCTAATAAACAATTAACATTTCCTAACTATGATTGGTCTTTTCCCTATTCAAGCGGATAGTGATTTAATCCTCACTACCTAGGATTCTTAGTGCTTTTGTGAGCAGCACATCAGCTTTACCCACAATACTGTTGAGTGGTCTCACCCCATTTAGGCGGGCAATGGATAAAGTCCTCGCTATCGTCTGGTTCTCCTCACGTGAATGAATCATTCTATAACTCTTCGAGTGGTCCCATCCCACTCAGGCAGATATTGATCAATCTTTACTATCATCATAGGATTCCTCAAGCTTAGGATCGTTTTCATTCTTAGCTTGCATCACAAACAAGTAACGTTTTCATAAATCATTATCATGCTTAGCCTATAGTGTATATAACTATCTCAACACATACATTTCATGGCATGCATTGCATAATCTCATAAATCATTCACATGCTTAGCCTATAGTGTACATGATATGTTCAACACATACAACTCATGGCATGCATGTGAAAAATCTCATAATTCATCCATATGCTTAGCCCATAGTTTACATGACATTCTTAACACATACATCTCATGACATATATGTCATTATCTCATAAATGGAATTCATGCATCCGTCATGCCT